TAATTCCTGCAGGCACTTGTGTACAAAAGCTAAGTCATTGTCAGACCAATATCGGGATTCCATATCTTGGAATTCTTTCAGTAAGCAGGAAACGGAACAACGTTTTTTTCTTTTGTTGTTTCTTTTTTTTCTATTCTGGTGGTCCGGGCTTCTACCCGGCAAGAGTAAGAGCTTACGATGACAATGTTATAGCAGAATTTACCAAATTCTGACATAACAGTAAAGTCAATGAGCAAATCAGGTAATGCTCCAACAGTTTGATTCCCTGGTTGTTGCTTGGTCCTTGTCGGGGTTATTTTTGTGCATCCTCTGGCCACTGCTTGTGTTCCTGTAGACGGGACCTTCTCCTGGCCAGAGAAGGTCCCGTAGAATATGGATGCCCTCCATCTTGAAATGGTGGTAGACCACAAAAGTTCCCGCAAGTTGATCACTGGGCTGGATTCTCCGGACTTTTTCCTCACTATAAAAATCGAGCTGAAAAAAAAACCAGTGTCCGGGGCCCATTGGACTGCGCCCTTGTCGAATAGTGTCCGAATTTCTGCATCTATCAGGACTTGTTGCTCTCTTGAGATGATGGGAACTCTTGGGGGTCCAACCTGTGTTGGAGGGGAGTGAAAGTCTATGACATATCCCTGAACAGTCCGAAGGACCCATGTATCCGAAGATACCTCCCGCCACCTGTCCCTGCAGTGAAACAGTCTGCCCGCATGCAATAGGGGAAAGGGATAAATGGCAGGAATTGTTCTCACCTGAAGAGAATCTTGCTCGTCCTCTTGCACGATTCCCTCTACCTCTATCCGACCTCCGTGTGTAGGAGGGTCTGAACTGGTATGAGGGAAAGGAGGATGGCCCACAGGATCTTTGGCAGCCCGAAGACCAGCTGTGGCTGGAGACACGACCCCGCTGTCATCCAGCCCCTCCAAAAACCTGTAACGTCTGTGGCCGGAATACCCTGTTTATGGAGGGAGGTGAATAGGTTGACGTGTTTTTGCAGCTCCTTGATGAATGGCTCCCCGAACAGCAGGCCCTTAGCCAGGGGGCCCAATTCTTTAATCCCAGCTCCGACAGTTTGTTGTCCGTGGAGAGGGCCACATTAGCATTGCCCAGCAGGCAAATGGATCGTAGTGCCCAGTCTCGCATGGTGGCTGGGTCCAGGGCCGTACCTTCCAAGTAGGCCTCATCTGTCAGCGCCAACATCCTGCATAGGGGGCACAGCATATCCAGCTGTTTATCCTTCACTGCACAGAGGCCTTTCTTGGGGTCCTGTACGGGTCATGTATGTGGCCACCAGGAGGCTTCTTGCGGACCTCCCCTTCAAGAGGTCTGCAGACCCAGTAGTGCACGAATTGTAGCAAATGGTCAGGCAGTGACCATTCAGAGGACATGGGGTGCCGGATGGATCGAGGGTCAAACAGAGGCTCACCTGTAGCATCCTGGAAGGTGTCATCCCCCATCACAGCTGTGGAGGCCTCTGTTGCTGGCGCATCTTCATCCTCTCAGCGCCACTTGGGATCATCCCCATGGTCCTCGTCCCAAGCGTCTTCCTCCTCTGGGGGGACTGGTCTGCCTGCCACTCATCCAGCACCGCCATAGTTGGGGGGGGGGGGTAAGGAGACCTCCTCCCCTGCGCCTGATAAACGGAGGCGCCTGGCCAGACAGATAAATAACCTAGAACCTTGACGCTTCGTCGGGGCCTTACCCTTCCGGGAGCATGGTTCGGGGCCTTCACCCTTCCAATAGCGCATTTGCGCACTTGCCTGCTCTTGCTCCTGAGAGTCTGACTCCACAGAGTCATCTGCCAAATGGGGGGATCCTCTAGCACCCCGTTACGGTTGTGGTTGAGGGAGGACCTTAGCCTTCTCCACAGAGGCGGCCACTGCCGCATTAATCATGGTCTGCAAATTCTGCTCCTGTGTAGAGGCTTCCATAGTTCAGGAGATGAGGCAACGTGACACCTAAGGAGATAGAGGAGAGGTATCACCAGCAGGCAATAGGGGCAGCACCCCTAGTATTGTCAGAGGCAAGTAATAAGCGCATGCAGGGCCCAAACACCAGGGTCCAGGAGAGGGAACCGCCAGGCCAGGAGCATGCTTAATATGGCACAGACAGCACAGGCCAATCATAGGGGCACAGACAAAGCAGGCCAATCATAGGGGCACAGACAAAGCAGGCCAATAAAGGGGGCACAGACAAAGCAGGCCAATATATGGGCACAGGCAAAGTAATAGGTGCAGCCAGCAGGGTAAAGCATTAATAGGTCACATGCAGCTTGACTTAGAGGGCTTGCAGGACTGAGCTGCAATAGGTTCACAGACCAGTCTTAGGTCAGCAACAGGGAAAGTGTTCACATGCAGGATCCGATGCAGGTGACATGTAAATGTGGCACACAGAACACTTTATTGAGCACAGACACACCCCACTCACTGCAAATACATATAATATGTATGTATTGCAGAAGGTAAATGCCGAAATGTCCCTAACTCGCAGGGAAAACTGAGAAACCAAAAAATTTATAACTAGGCACTATGCCTTTAAGGACAGAATGGCAGCCACGGCGAACCCAGCATAAAGCCGAACACCCACGTGCCCGACCAAGCGGTCGTGGTGAGATGGGTGCCCGGGAGCAGTCACTCCCATACTGACAGCAAAAAACCTCCAGGACAGGAAGGAAGTAGAGGGTTCCTGCTCGGCAGACGAAGCCGCCGGGCGGGAAACTGCACGTGTAACAGGTGGGACCGTCTGAGTCTTACTCCACGTTCCCGACGGTCGGCACGTGAGGCGGTCACACGACTGCTTCTCAGCAACCTTCCACAAGCAAGCACAAGATATAATTAATACAACAGTGATATAATAATAACCTAAGAACATGCACAAGCAACATTAATAAAACGATAATTAGGAATAATAACAGCCTAAGAAACATGCACAAGCAACAGTAATAAAACGGTAATTAGGATTAATAGCAGCCTAAGAAACATGCACAAGCAACAGTAACACAACAGAAATTATAAATAACATCCTAAGAAACATGCACAAGCAACAGACATTATAACAGTAATCTAAACTGTAATATAAATGTAGAAGCTACAGTAAAACACAAAGAAATTCGGTAATAAAACACAGCCACCCAAATATAACAGGAGGCAGTGGTACTCTGACCTGTACTGACTGCAGAGCATCAAAGAAAAAGCAAATAGCTGGTTAGGAGTAGTGATGTACCGAACGGTTCGCCGGCGAACGGTTCCCGGCGAACATAGCATGTTCGCGTTCGCCACGGCGGGCGAACATATGCGCGGTTCGACCCACCCCCTATTCGTCATCATTGAGTAAACTTTGACCCTGTACCTCACAGTCAGCAGACACATTCCAGCCAATTAGCAGCACACTCTCC